GCAGAGGACCCTGAACGAGTTCCGCGGCATGAGCATCAAGCCCTACGAGATTCTGGTGTACAGGCAGAAGAAATGGCAGGAGATCATGAGCGACAAGCTGCTACCCGGCGATGTCGTCAGCGCCGGCCGGACCAAGGAAGACTCTGGTGTGGCATGCGACATGCTCCTACTCGAGGGCTCCGCGATTGTCAACGAGGCTATGCTTTCCGGAGAGAGCACACCGGTGCTCAAGGAATCTGTACAACTGCGACCTGGCGATGCGCGCATCGAGCCTGAGGGTCTGGACAAGAACTCGTTCCTCTGGGGCGGCACCAAGGTGCTCCAGGTCTCGCACGGTAGCGACGCTGAGGAGGATGGCGGCAACGTCACTAGGCTTTCGTCTGGTGTCCCCCCGCCACCGGACAAGGGCGCTGTTGCTGTTGTTATCAAGACTGGCTTCGAGACTAACCAGGGCAGCCTCGTCAGGACCATGATCTTCGCTACCGAGCGCGTCTCCGCCAACAACGTCGAAGCCCTCTTCTTCATTCTCTTCCTTACCGTCTTCGCCGTCGCTGCCTCGTGGTACGTCTGGCAGGAGGGTGTCAGGCTCGACCGCCAGCGTAACAAGCTGCTCCTCGACTGCGTCCTCATTGTCACCAGCGTCGTCCCTCCCGAGCTTCCCATGGAGCTCAGCTTGGCCGTCAACACCTCCCTCGCTGCTCTGAGCAAGTACGCCATCTTCTGTACCGAGCCCTTCCGCATTCCTTTCGCTGGGCAGGTCGACGTTGCCTGCTTCGATAAGACTGGTACTTTGACTGGTGAAGACTTGGTCGTGGACGGCATTGCTGGACTATCATTGGGACAAGATGGGGCTACGGTTGCAGTAGACGGTGCGCACACTGACCTCGCAAAGGTTACGGACGTCGCTACTGAGACAACGCTGGTGCTCGCCGCCGCTCACGCCCTGGTCAAACTCGACGATGGTGAGACTGTGGGAGAGCCTATGGAGAAAGCAACCCTCCAGTCTCTCGGCTGGAAACTCGGAGCGAAGGACACACTCCAAGCCACCATGACTACCCCCAAATCCCAAGCCGAACTCGTACACATCCGCCGCCGCTTCCAATTCTCGTCCGCTCTGAAACGCCAAAGCTCCGTCGCTACCGTCATCGTCAACAACACCAAGACTGGCCGCAAGGTCAAGAGCACAATCGCTGCAGTCAAGGGCGCGCCAGAGACTATTCGCAAGATGTTGGTCAACACCCCGCCAAACTACGAGGAGACGTTCAAGCACTTCACCCGCAATGGTGGCCGTGTCCTCGCTCTTGCATACAAGTTCATCTCCGAAGAGGGAGAGTGGGGCCAGAACCGTATCAACGACCTCAAGCGTGAGCAAGTCGAGTCTGACTTGCACTTTGCCGGTTTCCTCGTCCTCCAGTGCCCTCTCAAGCCTGACGCTGTCGAGGCTGTCCGTTCCCTCAACGAGTCCAGCCATCGTGTTGTCATGATCACTGGTGACAACCCGTTGACCGCTGTCCATGTCGCCAAGCAGGTCGAGATCGTCGACCGCGATTGCTACATCCTTGATGCGCCTGAGAACGACGAATCCGGCGAGAAGCTTGTCTGGCGCAGCGTTGACGACAAGGTCAGCATTCCTGTCGACCCTACCAAGCCCCTGGATGCCGAGATCTTGAAGTCCAAGGACATCTGTCTTACCGGATACGCACTTTCGAAGTTCGCTGGCCAGCCTGGATGGAAGCAAATTCTCCGTTACACCTGGGTCTACGCTCGTGTTTCGCCAAAGCAGAAGGAGGAAATCCTTCTCGGTCTCAAGGACTGCGGTTACACTACACTCATGGCTGGTGACGGTACCAACGACGTTGGTGCGCTGAAGCAGGCTCACATTGGTGTTGCTCTACTCAACGGTACCCGCGAGGATCTCGACAAGATTGGCGAGCACTTCCGCAACACTCAGATGAAGAATGTCTACGAGAAGCAATGCAACCTCATGACACGATTCAACCAGCCCCAGCCGCCTGTTCCGATCATGATCGCGCATCTCTACCCACCTGGTCCCACCAACCCTCACTACGAGAAGGCTATGGAGAACCAAGCGAAGAGGAAGGGTCTACTTCCCGGAGCCAATGGCGTTGCTAACGGATCGGCATCCACTGGTACCCTTGTTCAACAGCAACCTGGTCAAGTTCAGCCTCCTCAGGCCGCCGCCAACTTCGCTCAGCAAATGCAAGAGAAGATGATGGCACAAGAGATGGAAGAGTTGGCCGGTGAGCCTCCGACCATCAAGCTTGGTGATGCCTCCGTCGCTGCGCCCTTCACCTCTAAGCTCGCCAACGTCGTTGCCATTCCCAACATTATCCGCCAAGGCCGTTGCACACTCGTTGCTACAATTCAGATGTACAAGATTCTCGCTCTCAACTGCTTGATCTCCGCCTACAGTCTGTCAGTTCTCTACCTGGACGGTATCAAGTTCGGCGACGGTCAGGTCACCATCTCCGGTATGATGATGAGTGTTTGCTTCCTGTCCATCTCGCGCGCAAAGACCGTCGAGACGCTATCGAAAGAACGTCCTCAGCACAACATCTTCAACACATACATCATCGGCTCCGTACTCGGACAGTTCGCTATCCATATCATCACCCTCATCTACGTCAGCCAATACGTTCAGCGCGTTGAGCCCAAGGACCCCAACCCAGATCTGGAGAAGGATTTCGAGCCATCTCTGCTCAACTCCGCAATCTATCTCCTGCAACTCATCCAACAAATCTCCACCTTCGCCATCAACTACCAAGGCCGACCCTTCCGCGAGTCCATCCGCGAAAACAAGGGCATGTACTGGGGTCTCGTCTCCGTCTCCGGTGTCGCCTTCTCCTGCGCTACCGAGTTCATCCCCGAACTCAACGAGAAGCTCAAGCTCGTCCCCTTCACCACCGACTTCAAGATCATGATTACGAGCATCATGGCGTTTGACTTCGTTGCCTGCTACATCATTGAGAAGGGTCTGAAGTTCTTCTTCTCGGATAACAAGCCAAAGGATATTGCCGAGAGAAGACCCGATCAGCTGCAGCAGGAGGAGAAGAGGAAGGCGAGAGCTGAGATTGAGGCCCAGAGGAAGAAGAATGAGGAGGCGGAGATGAAGGCTGCTGCTGCCGGGTTGGTTAAGCGGTAGACGGAGGAATTGTGGGATATAGAGGTGCACATAGTTTTTGGTGGTAGACTAATTTTGGTATGAAGAATTGATCATTTCTCTGCTCAGTTGCTGTTCTAGGTTGATGTGTTGTGCTGCGATGGGGTATGCGACCAGCTTCGCTCGTATCCCATCGTTCCGCAGGTGCGCCTTTTGGTCACCCGCTCCACTCAAGCTCACGTGCTCACGTGCTCACTGTCCTTGAATGGGTATATAAAGATACCCGCTCGGCTCTCAAACCTTGCTTCTCATATGTCTCTTCCAGTACTCTTTACCAAAAGCATTGAGGTATCAACTCATGGCTGCTGCTTCCTTCTTTCCAAAATCGTCCGATTACCTTTGCATGTGCGCTTCTGCACCTTCTTTCGCTATCTAGCCCAAAACATTCCGGAACTTTTGATGAAAGTCCTATCTTGCGCTTTTGGACAACTCAAAATAGAAACGGCCCACATTTATGGCTGGTGGCTCTGGGAAAGTTACGAAGAAATCGAATATGAAGCCGTTCTTCAACATGCTCGTGGTGTGCAAGAAAGACTGCGCAAACCAAAAAAGTGAACGGAGGAAATTATGGCTGTGCCTGTCGACTGCGGTGCCAGGAACGAAAACAAAAGAGACACCGGAGACTTGATGCTTACGGCATCAGATCAATGCTTCATTAAAAGATTGTACGTCAGAGTACATGTTAGTAGATGGAGCGAGCGCTCGCCCGCCCGGGTATAAAATCTTCCCGGGGCCAACCTTCCTTCTTCACTTATCTCTCCCGTGGAAATACTAAAAACTAAAACCATGGCTAGTATGTCTGCGTTTTCTGCGGCATTCTTTCTACACCAAAACATTCCTCTGGGAATTCCATGTTCTTGGTCTCTGGACTTTGTTCACCTAATCCAAAAACACCTGGATACACTCCGGATGTCTGACCTCTGGGCTATCTGGACTATTCCAAAACCACCAACTACTATTTGATCCTGTCGTGTCAGCGCCTCGGTCCTCCCTCTCCATTTGAATCATGGGCTTTACTGCACGATCTCCGCTTCATGCTCTTCTTTGCAGAAAGAAGACCAAAAATAAGGAAGGTTACGATCGATGGTTGCTGCAAGACGACTTTCTTCCATTAATACTACAACATTACGTCCAGGTTTACTTCATGAACGCTTCTCTGGCCTTCATTCAATTTCGCGGTCCGCATACAAACACGTCGATGTTCACAGAAATGAGCTCTCCTTTGCCATGTCAACTTTACTCCATGTAATAATGGGAAAGTGCGAAGACATCATGGCACGACGCCATGTCTGCGGGTCCAAAATACGAAGAGACCGACGGATGTCCTCGCCCGCCCTCTGCGGCTGCTTCAACACAGAAGACGACGGCGGGGCTCAACATTACTCCTCTTTCGCGCTGCGTTCCTCATTCATACCATAGCAGTTTTCATGTCTCCAAAACGTCATTCACAAGAAGCGATGTCTTTGCGTCGTCTGCTTTCTAGTTTGTTACAAAAGAAATGAAAATTACTTGCATGTCCATTGCGCCCTTCGAGAAATGACCCTTCTATGTTGGCACATTGATGTAACAGGATAACATTGGGTCTTATCAATAGTTTCAATACGTCGAGGGTCAATCGATGTGGCCTCATTCAATCTTTGGGCCTCCCAGGCATGGACGCCGGCTACCACTTCCTATATAACTCGCCACCTCACCCGCGCTTCTTTCCCAAATCGATATACTACTCACCCTGAACCAATACATGAACAAACATTTGCCAACTACAAAAAAGCCACAACACCCCAAACTATTGCGAAACCCACCCAAGCCAAATACAACGATGTCCACCAACCGCTGCCAACAAATCCTCGCAGAGGTCGACAACGACGTCACCATGGCGGTCTACCGTATCTTCAGCGAAGCCGAGACCAACGAAAACATCACAGCCAAGAATTGGGAGGACTTCGCTGCCGAGCTCGATGACGGGGACAAGAGGATGGTGGATGAGGTGGTCTGCAACTTGACACACGCGTGGGTGCAGTGCGCTCCGTGTGCGAATCTGGTGGCGCTGGTGAGGTGGCGGAGAGACGCGAGGGGTCTTGTTGCGCAGGTCTGAGGTGGATGATGAGACTAGAGCGGGTGTGGAGCTAGGGTGGGGGAGAAGAGGTATATAAGTGTCGGGCGTGAGGGCATCTTCTCTCATCAATACACTTCTTGCGGGAATTCCACTAAATTACGAGCGATTAAGACCCATGAGTTCCCTTCTTCTTTCTGGTTGCATTATATTCAAAAGTACTCGTCGACTGAACGATAGTTTGGCCTGAGAGGATTCGTTGGACGCTACATGATATTCCAAAACTCTAGAGACTTGGCGTATTCAGCAGCTCATGTTTTGACTGGCCCAAAAAGTCTTGTTGACGCTGTTGTATACGGCTCGGGACGTATGCCTTGGGTTACCAAAAGCCTCAGGCTATGGGAAATCAGCATGTTTCGCCGTGCACTTCCATGAACAGCTTCGCCGAAACTAAACCAGTGAAATTTCATGATCTTCTACCAGTATGGATCAAGGTCTCACAGCTCGGCGCCATACAGCCCTTGTGGGACTGTAATCAGTCTCCCACCTCACTTCCTTCTCGTTATCTATGCACTTCATGGTTATCAGTGCAATTCTAGAACTGATGAATCTAGCGTCTAGGTTTTCTGAGCCTAGTAAACTAAGATGCCACTGCATTTGTGTAATGTCTAACCTGGGTTCCGATTTCGAGGTAGCAAATACATCGCTCACATCATGAATTGGGGTGTGTTTTTGCGAAGTCTGCGTGTGACATCAGAAAGTGCTGCAGCCTTTTCAAGACCGTTTCTCAGCGCCACATGGTTTCGTCTTTCGGAGAGCCAGTGAAAAGATCTTTAGATTTCTGTGAAAAGTACTTAATCTTCATCTGTTCTGCTCTTCTCTCTTTATGACCTTCAAAAGTTTCACTGTTAAAATGTTAAGAAACAGACTAATGACTGTGGTCTTCTTCTTTGTTCCAAAATACTCCGTCACATATCCATGCTTCTGAGCAGCCGGATTGTTGCATCCTCTTTCATTTTGTAGGTTCGCAAACCACCAAGAACGGATGCACCGCCGCTGTCTGAAGTTAGCGCACACTTCTCATTGCACATCACCAACGTAGTCAAAACTTACCACTGACAAACAATCGCCCAGTCTTGACATCATGCCTAACCGTCGTACTCCCACTCAGCACCTTCGCATCCTTATCCTCAATAACCTTCTCAACCCTATAATCCACGCTTCTTACTCCAGTCTTTCCTACATCTACCGTCTTTCTGATACGCCAGATAGTGACAGGTGAGATGCCATTATAAGGATCGTCAAAGCCTTTACTGGATTGGTATAGATCCGGGAAACCTGCGACGTACATATCGCCATTCGCGTCCGGTGAGATGTTGTCGAGCGGCATGCCGACGTGGATGGTATCGACCAAGCTGAGGGTTTTGTCGGGCTGGAGTGCTAGGACGCGAATTTGACCGTCAATGGTGCTGGGGACGTAGAAGAGGCCATCTCGGCCGAGGGCCAGTCCGTTGGGGAACTTGAGCTTGGTTTTGGGAAGGTAACTGAGCGCCTTGTTGACGTAGGCTTTGTACTTTGACTCATTGGCCGTGGCTGATTGGGTGAACTCGCGCTCCTCGCTGCCGTCGTAGGCTGAGTGGCAGTTCCCGGCTCCGTCGCAGTAGGCAACGTTTCCTCCGCCGATGAAGTAATCGAGTCCAAGACGCTGATATACGTTATTTATCTTGTGTGTAGTTTAGATACGAATGTCACGTACCATGCCAACCTTGACCGAGTGGTCGTTAGTAACGAGAAACCCACCAGAGCCATCACCAAGCGCCGCGACACGGTTTGGAGTCCAAATCTCATCGGAAACGACGGTGCGAACATGTCGCATCTGTTCCTGGCCCTTCCTCATCTCAAAAATCTCGACCGTCGAGTTTGCGCCGCTTTCAGAAGCATCAACAATCTTGTTGGACGCATCGACTGGTGGCCGTTGGTTGACAAAGTAGAAGCGCATAGTGTTATCGTCCAAGACCTGGACATCAAAGCCCAGAAGATCGAGATCAGAGCTTCCATCCGCTCCTTTATAATGGCCTATCGGCTTGATGCTGCGAAGATTGTAGAGACCGTCTTCACCAGGCTCGTCGATATCCAAGGCGAGGAGTTCAGATCCACCGAGCCGGCGTCCGGTTACGTTGAGGTCGTTCATGCTGTACCAATTAGTACTTCAGGCCGCGAAACCGCGTTCATTTGTAGCAGAATGGTTGTAAGATAACGTACGCTTGATTCCAAGCCAATCTAGGCGCCGTGCCTGCGCACGCCGCATACAGCGTTCTTCCCTCATTGTCTAGCCAAATGTCCTCGCATGCTTCCAGCCTTGGATGTACCAGACGGCGACAACTAAACTCCGGGAACTCATCGATACTCTGTATCACGCGCCCAACACCAAATGTAATCGCAAAAAGGTCTTTCAGGTAGATTTGGTAGAGCGATGCGCCCCACGCTACGACGAGCGCCCAGTACACGGTTTTCGCTATGCCAGGCATTGCGGAAGCTCAAACGCAATGAAACGAGAAATAAAGATAGATGGAAAATACAGGAAAGGCTGAGCTTATATCTCACGTTGATACCTAGAGGGCTGAGCAAGGCTTGCAGGGGTTGTAATAGGCAAGGCGCCTCCGTTCAGCCCCAGTAAAAATCGTCCCTCCATCCGCGCGCGGAGCACGTGGGCTGCTGAAGGACCTCCAGACATAGGTACCTCATCACCGGGCGTAAGTTCTTGTTCCGCCGAGAGCATATCGCTGATATGAGATGCAAGTAGCAACGCTGGGGAGAGCCGTTCGGCCTCATCCCCGGGAAGGCTGACGTCACAGGGTCTCTCCAACCCAATTCGGTGGCATCCTCGGCTTACTCACCCCACGCCCTCTCCATACCCAGCGGGAAGATTCCACCTCGCAAGAATCAACTTCAAATCTCAAACCCTTCAAAATGACAAAATCCGCCTCCTTCGATGTGATAGGCACATGTTTCGCCTTCTCCGCCCCCATCGCCACCATCCAATCGCGTCTCGGCCCCAAACTCACCACCGCAGCCGTGGACCCCAAGACGCTCTTCTTCAGTTGGTTCTACGCCGCGCAGCGCGACTTCACATATGTATCCATGAGCGGCTCCTACGTGCCCATCGCACAAGTCCTCAAGTCGACTTTCCGCCGCGCATGTGCCGTTGTCGACCTACCCCTCGACGCCATCACCGACGAAGACGTCGACGAAGTGATGAAAGCGTTTAAGGCCATGGGGCCGCGCGATGGGCTGAAGACTTGTTTCGATGGGCTGAGAGAGGCGGGGTGGGATGTTTATGGTGTTACGAATGGGGGGTCGGAGACGAGTTTGGCGTATTATCACAATGCGGGGATTGAGCTCGATGAGCAGCATCTGCTTAGTTGTGATGCTATCAAGATTGCGAAACCGGATGTGAGGGTGTATGGGAATGCGGATAGGCATTTGACAGAGAGGGGACTGAGTAAGGGGGATGGGGAGAGGTGGTTTGTTGCCGCGCATGCTTGGGATTTGATTGCGGCGAGGAAGGCTGGGTTCAAGACTGCGTATCTGGACTTTGAAGAACACGATCCGTGTACGGATGTCTTCGGCGAGTTCGATTTGTATGCGTCTAGTATGGAGGATCTCTTGATCAAATTGAAGGAGAGCAAGTAAGGTTGGCGTAAAGTAAATCACTTAGACGTCTACGTTGCCCTCAAATGTTCTGAATGTTGATGCTTGATGCTGTTGTAGGCTTCAGAGTCCACTGACAACAATGTAAACAAAGCGACCCAGAAGCCTACATCGCCTTAGCATCTCGTCCATTTTAAGGTTTAATATCAATGTAGGCTGCACGGTATGAGATGAGTCATATTGTATCAAGAATATTGGGCCGAAGCCTGGAGGCTACGTAAGTCTGAGACCTCTCCAGAAGTCACTAATCCCGCAGATGTATCCATCCGGATACCATGAGATTTCGTGCAGCATACCGCCTTTTCGCCCATTCCTAGAGTATCCCGCGCACCAAAACCAGCCATTTTCCCCACCGAATACATGGAAGACCCACGTGATCTACCTAAATAGACTCCTAAGCTCCTCCAGCCTCTGCTTCGTAGCCTCCTCCTTGCCCTTGCGCTCCCTTGCCATCGTCATATTAGCTAGAGCCTTTTTCTTATCCTGGAGTACTAGCATCTTCTCTTCAAAGCTGTTCTGCATGATAAAGCGCTTAATAGTAACCTCCCTATCTTGACCAAGCCGATGAACACGATCAACAGCTTGCGCCTCAGCTGCCGGATTGAACTGCGGCTCCATCATGAACACTTTGTTGGCTGTTGTAAGATTGAGACCGAGACCTCCTGCGCCAATAGATACAAGCATAACGCGGACTGCAGGATTCTCGCGGAGTGCCTGCATAGACTTGTCGCGGTTTTCGCGCGACATGCGGCCATCGAGGCGGACGAGCGAGTGGCCGGCGTTCTTGAGAGCAATTTCGATGAGGTCGAGGTGTGTGGTCCATGAGGAGAATACAATGCTGTGAAAGTCAGTAAAGCGCGTCTCGGTGTGGCAATGTAGGCATCAACTCACCTTTTGATCGGCCTCTCATCCGGATTCTGCTCGCTCCATACACGGAACTCTTGCAGGTCGTTGAGTAGAGCTTGGGTCTTCGTATGCGGGCCAGTGTAGCTTCCGATCTTCTTCGCCAGTTTTGGATCTTTTCGGATCTGATTCTGCTCCTCGATGTAGTTGTAGTAGTCCGTGCGTTCGAGCTTGAGGACCGTGGGCCGGTTGACGTCGTCACATACGTGGCAACGAACTGAACCATCCGCCATGAGGTTGTTCTTCCACTGATCCTTCAGCTTCTTGATGTGACGTGGGCAGACGAGGTGGTAGCATGTGGTCATGTAGCCAATATCTTCCTGGACGTTGCCATCTTCATCTTCGTCGTCATCGGAATCATCCTCTAATAAAGACTTCTTATCTGGGCAGTACAGGCAGTCCGCTGCACTTGTCGAATCGAGGAGAGT